CTCAGTGGCATTTCAAAAAGCCTTACCAGTCCTGGCTTTCAATCCACGGGGCCAGGAACTGCCGGAGCTCCATGGGGAAGCTGTCGCTGTAGAGCTGGTGGAGCTGCTCCAGGTACCGCGTGTCGAGCTGCTGCAGCTGGTTCCACTGCGCCATCCTGGCCAGCTCCGGAGACCTGAGGGGTGGAAACACAGGTGGCTCAGAGCTGGCTGCTCCCTCCTGCCAGGACCCAGCTGTGACTGCTGCAACGCCCTGAAAAGGGTTCTTCTCTCTGGCCACAACCAGAGACAGCCAGGGCATGAACCCAGGGCACAGTGCTCCAGGACAGCTGGCACGGGCAGGCTGGCCACTGGCAACAGGTAGGAATGAGGCTTTAATTTGGTCTTGAAGGCAGCCCTGGTCAGCCCTGCTGGGAGGCAGGGAAGTGGCTGTGGAGCTTACAGTAACTGTGGAAGGCGGAGACTGCCAGGAAGCTACAGAAACAGGGAAGGAGCAATTTTCAAGTTCACGACTTGTATCAATAGAAATCAAGTTGACACTAACGAGGGGATTCCAGCTGTGCTGGCAAATGAAGGCACAGCTCTGCATGACACCAGCAGTCACTTCCCTGCAGAAAGTGGTTTGCTTTTCCCAAAGGTCTCTGCACTGAGTGATGCAGCATCACTACATGGCCTCCTGCCCCGAGGGACTCTTTCCCCATTTGTCTGGGTGTGAAAAAAGGAAAGTGGAAACATCCTCTGTGGGCTGAGACACCAGGAGGGGACAAACATTGGCACTGCCATGGGAGTTAAGAGAGGTTTTTAGTACTTCACAGCACTGAACAGCCCCAAAGGCAGGAGCAGGATATTAACTTTGAACTACAACCTGCTGGTGCAATCCTCAGAGAAGTCCACATGAAACCTGCCTTCAATGGAGCAACGAGTGACCATGAGAGAGCCAGTGGCCATGCAAGACAACATGCAGACAACAGATTCCTACAGTCCTGGAGTCAGACCTGGCTGATGTGATGCTGCAGCCCAAGGGCTGGGCTGTGAGCTGTGGCCCAGCACAGCAGAGCCCCCATTCCACAGGGGGTTCAGCCCTTTGTGGCCAGTTCTCAGCTGCAGCAGCTCAGGGAATGAGCAGCTGCACGGCTCCAGCCCTTCCACTCAGTCCTGGAGGCCAATCCTGCTGCATGAATGGTGCTGCTGCTGGGGGGGAAACCCAACAAGCACAGGCCAGGCCAGAGTGAAAGCCCACCAGCCCCGCAGGGGGTGCCCCGCCTGGCCGCTGAGCTCAGCAGCCGCTTCCTATTGCGCCATGCACCGGGGCGGGGGGGGGGCTGCACCGGCCCCTCCGGAAACTGCAGCAGCTGCAGCCCCAGCCCAGCCCCTGCCAGAGCCGTGTTTCCAGCCCTGAGGACAGTGCTGCAGCAGCATGGCACACGAGGTACCTGGGCAGCCCCCGGTGCCAAGCGCACAGGCAGACCTGCCCACCCATCAGGCTGCAGAAACTGAACCAGATGCCACATCCGGAGCCATGGTCCAAGATGTTCCACCTGAAAGCCACAATCTCGGCATTTCAGAGTGCTGCTGGAGTCCCAGTCTGAGAGCACCAAAGCTCCCAGGCTGCCACACGGCAGCAGCACTTGCACGGGACTCAGCCACTTCCCACTGCCACAAACAGCTGCAGGACAAGCCAGCTTGCAGCACTAAACTCCAGCTCCTCCTGGCATCCACCCAAGGCACTCTGACATTCCTGGAGGAAAAGGTCCCGAAGACAGCAGCAGCCACCACTGTGAGGGAAGAAACTCTGATCCTGGCAGCCCTGGAACACCATGCAGGAGCCTCTGCCTGGTCAGCCCCATCAACGAGAAGGCATGGCTAAAAATCTGAGGGTTGAACCTTTCTGATTCCACTGGGCTTGCCCATCTCTGTGGTTTGCCACTCCTCCATCTCTGGAATGGAGCCAGAGAGCAGCCAGCATGGCCAGGACCAACACACATGATGCAAGCTCACGGGTAAACATGCTGTCCAGAGCTCAGAGCAGAGCTGCTAAAAGTAGATCAAGAGCTAAAGTTCATCTTTCTTTATCTTCCTGCAAGGGCAGAGCACAAGAGTCAGACCCAGCTGCATGGTGTGAACTGCAGCCTCTGGGACCACTCTGCACACTCCAACCACCCCACTCAAAACAGGGCTGCCCTGGAAGCAACCCTGCAACTGCTTTCTGCCTGCCTTCTCACCTCTGGGACACCTGGGAACACCCTGCATGTGTGCCCCTACAGCAAGCAGAGAGCCCTAGGGCAACGTGTATGGGGGAGTGACTGGAAAGGGCCTTGGAAGGACCCTGGGACTCCATGTCCCCTGCAGAGACACGAGGAGGATGAAGCTCAGTCACTGAAGGCATTGCACAGGCCACATCATCAGGGTGCCACCACAGATGCCATCAACAACACTTCACAGAGTCCCTGCACCAGCAGCAGCACCTCGCTGCCCCCTCTTCCACACAACCACCAACAGCCCGATGGAAAACTGCTCCACACGGCAGCCAGTCGCTCTGGCAGCACGAGAGCCAGTTTGGAAAGGCTGCTAGAAGAATTTGGCTCTGCTTCTCTGGAGCTATTTCAAAGCCAGCCTTGGAGGTGGAAAACAGCGATGCAGAGATTTGCAGCAGGAGGAGAGAGATGGCTCTGGGCAACCTCAGAACCACAGCACGAGTTCTGATCACCCCACCGGCCTGCTGTTCCTCATCACAGCTCTCAAGGGCCATCCCAGCTGAACTCCCACTGCAGCAGCTGCGACACTGCCACCATCCCCCCCAGGGCAGGGGACACCCAGCCCACACCCCTCCTGTGCCAGACGGAGCAGGCTGGGGGAGTGGCAGTGACAGGGTGGAAGCGGGGCCTGTCCCCGACGTGCAGCCAGGCAGGGCCGGTCCCTGCAGGTGCAGAGGGGCGGCCCGGGCCAGCCCGGCCTCGCAGACCCGCGGCTGTGTCCCACGGCCCGGGCGGCAGGAGCCACCCCCGCCCGGGCAGCGCAGCGCCCGCCTGCAGGAGCGCTGGGCAGCGCTGCCAGCCCCCGCCGAGCTCTGCCGAGCTGCGGGACCGATGCCGTGACACCCGGCACCCACGGGGACCGTCACCGGGGCGAGGCCCGCTCCGGGCAGCCGGCGTGTGACAGCCCCGAGCTCGCAGCCCCGCAGAGCCCAGCCGGCTCCCTCAGCCCCGGTGTGCCGAGCCCCCTTTCGGCTCCCAGCGCCGGGACCAGCCGCACCAGCCTCGTTCCGCACGGGACCCCCGAGGCCGCGTCAGCCTCGGCCCAGCCCCGGTCACCCGGCCGGGCCGCACCTCCCCCGGCCCTGCCGGTCCCGACCCTTTTCGCTCTCCAAGAAGCCGTCTCGGGCTCTGTCCCCGTGCGGTGCCAGCCCGGAAGACCGACCCGGGCCGCACAGACCGACCCCGCTCCGCACCGCGCCTCGGCCCTCCAGTGACGGGGAGCCGGGACAGGCCCCCCCGCGCTACCGACCCCGCTCCCGCCCCGGCCCCAAACCGGCCCGGGGGACACCGGCTCCCGGCGACGAGCAGCGCCCGCGCGCCTCCCGCGCTCACCGGCGGTCCCGGCGGGCGGGGCGGCGGCTCCCGGTGACGGCGGCGATCGCGTCCGGCTGCGCCGAGGAACCGGACCTCCTGCGCCACGACTCCACCCCCCGTCGTGACGTCACCACGCTACTGCCAATGGCGACTCCTTGCTCTTGCGGCCCCGCCCCGGCGGGCCTCCGAGAGCCAATCAGCGCGGTCGTTGCGCGGTGCGTCACGGCGCGCGGAGAGGGGGCTGCCCCCCCGGCTATTCCCGGATGGCACCGCCTCCCGCCGCAGGGCGTCGCTAGACAGAGGCGGTGCAGGCGGCCGGGGGGGGGCGGCTGCCGGGAACAGCCGTGCGGGAAACCCAGCTGAGTTCCGGGCAGAGCCGTGACGTCACGCGGTCGCCGCCGCCGCCGCCACCGCCTCTTAAAGGGGCCGCGTCGCGCCGGGCGGGCCCGTGCGCCGTGCTGGGAGCAGCGCCCCCGCGTGGGGAAAGGGGGATGGATCCCTGTGGAGCAAACGGGGATGGATCCCTGTGGGGCGGTGGGGATCGATCCCATACGGTTGTGAGGATCATCCCTGTGGGGCTGTGGGGATCAATCCTATAGACTGTGGGGGTTGATCCCATAGGACTGTGGAGATCATCCCTGTGGGGATCATTCCTATAGGGCTGTGGGGGTTGATCCCATAGGATTGTGGGGATCACCCCTGTGGGGCTGGGGAGATCGGTCCATGTGGGGATCAGTCCCTGTGGGGCTGTGGGGATCGATCCCTGTGGGGATCAGTCCCCATGGGGCTGTGGAGATTGATCCCTGTGGGGCTGTGGGGATCAGTCTCCATGGGGCTGTAGGGATTGATCCCCATGGGTCTGTGCGGATCGATTGCTGTGGGCTGTGGGGATCGATCCCTGTGGGGATCAGTCCCCATCGGGCTGTAGGGATTGATCCCCGTGGGGCTGTGGGGATCAGTCTCCATGGGGCTGTAGGGATTGATCCCCGTGGGGCTGTGCAGATCGATTGCTGTGAGCTGTGGGGATCATCCCTGTGGGGCTGTGGGGATCAATCCCCCATAGGATTGTGGGGATTGATCCCTGTGGGGCTGTAGGGATCAGTCTCCATGGGGCTGTAGGGATGAATCCCTGTGGGGCTGTGGGGATCAGTCCCTGTGGGGATGGATCCCTGTGGGGATGGATCCCTGTGGGGCTGTGGGGATCAATCCCTGTGGGGCTGTGGGGATCAGTCCCCATGGGGCTCTGGGGATCGGTGCCTGCAGGGCTGTGGGGATCGGTCCCTGTGGGGCTATGGGGATCGATCCCCATGAAGTTCTGGGGATGGATCCCTGTGGGGCTCAGCGTGTCAGCCCCCCGCAGCAGGGCTGTGGGGATCAGCCCCTGCGTGGCAGCCCCTCCCCAGCGCCCGGTGCCACGGACAGGCCGCACACTGGTGGTTTACAAAAGAGACTTTATTGCTGGGCACAGCCAGGGACAGGCGAGGATCACCCGGGCTTCTGCCGCCCTGGCCCTGCTGTCCCGGCCCCGCAGCTCAGAGAAACCCGCGTGAAAACTGCCTGTGGCCCACAGGAGATTCTGTGAGGGCAGGTGACCTGCGGGCTGGGGCCCACATGGGGCTGGGAACCACAAAGAGCCGGTGCCCAGTGCCTCCCCACACCGGGAGCCTCGGGGCCACCGGTGTCTCAGGGCTGCCTGCAGCCGGCACACGGAACCGACCGGTCACACCTTCTGTGGGGAGGGAAGCTGTGGCAGGACCCCGAGGCCGGGACAGCACTGGACAATTTGAAGGAAAATCATTCTTAAAGGTAAAGCAAGTTTATATATTGGGTTATGTGAACAGCAGCAGCCTCGTGCTGGGGGAGCAGGATGGGGCTTGCAGCAGGGGTTGAGTATGTAAGAGCCAAGCTGGGCTGAGCCAGGCAGAGCCCCCAAGTCACCCTGTGCTGCCTTTCTGCTGCCTCACTCAGGGCATGGAGTGAAGCTGCAGAAAGCAGGACACAGGGAGGAAAGCACAGGACGTGGGCATGGGCATGAGCCTGAGCTGTGCCAGGACCCCCGCAGAAAGCAGACGCTCAGAAATGCTCATGGTCCGGTGCTGGGCAGGTGTCAAGGCCTTTTCCTGATGGTCTAGAGCCTCACATGGCAACAGTGCATCCCATATCCCTCTGGAAACAAGTCCCTAGCTGTGGCAGCTGCTCCAGCATCGCTGCCTACGTGTCCCCCTCTCCCAGGGCAGCAAGCGTGGACCCCACTGCCTGCTGCCACCACCTCTGTGGGTGTGGAGGGAGCAGATCCAGCACCCCACCTCCATGCTGCTCCCTGCCCTTGGGACTCGCCATGGATGTCTGGCAGGTCCCTGACCCGTGTGAGAAGCCTGCAGCTTGTGCTGTTCCTGCCACAACCCCGGGGCACAGTGGGGAGCAGCAGCTGTGTGACACCCCTCAGGCCCAGCTGCAGGGTGGCTTCGTGCAAAGGTCACCCAGTCCTTGGGAGGGCAGAGAGGAGCAGCCCCACCTGCCCCACGCCAGCTCAGCTTTGCCATGTGCTGCACCAACAACAGGATTTGCTCAGCTCTTCCCTCCGTGCACCGGCTGCATCCCAGTTCCTCTGGTCCCCCGAAGGAGCAGCCGGTTTGGGTGCTGGGAGTCTTCTTGCCTGTGGAGTGGCTGCACAGGGGGCTGGTGGGCTACTTGCAGGAAGCTTTCTTGACACCAGGTTTTTCTTATGGAGGACTCTTGAACTTTCAGCTGTACAGCTTCTTGGGATCAGCACTCTCCAGCTGGGTCAGGGCCCTGTCACTCAAAGCACATCTTCAGGTGTGGGGCAAGAAGGCTGCAGCAGGAATGGTCTCCAAGGGTGATTTAGTAGTGTAAGAAAAACAGTTCCGTGTTCCTAATGTTTATGTGCTAAAACTAAAATATAAAATACACCTTGTACAAGCAGGCAGGGGATCGGCATCGGCTCTGCAGGGTAAGAAGGATGCATCGTGTACACTTCCCTGGGGCTCCAGGGCAGGGAGAGCTCGAAATGTGAGTGATACTGTGTTCAGCTGTCATCCACAACCCTTGTGCTCTGCAGCCTGTCCTACTCGCTGTCACTCTTGTCCACCAGTACCGCGTCAGTCTCCTCCGTGATCTCCAGCAGGGTGTGCACGTCGGGGCTTTCCCCACGCATCAGATCTGAATTTTCTCCTTCCTCTCCACCAACCTCCACCAGCTCTGTGGCTTTCACCTCCACCTCACCCTCTCTTATTTTCTTGACATGGAAAGTGAAGGGCGGCACTTTGTAGACGGCTGTCTTGGACCTGGCATAGATGGTGTGGTCAGGGGTGAAAGACTTCCTCAGTTTGTCCCGAGAGCTCTTCATCTTCTCTCTCCTTTCATTAGTCACAATTTTAGTGCCCAGTTTGTTCATCCTCTTCTCCAGGTTGTGCCGGGTCTTCTCCAAGTTGTGGCGGGTCTTCTCCAGGTTTTCCTTGGTCTTTAGCTTAGTCTTTTCCATTTTCTCCTTTGAGAATGCCTTCTTAAAGTCATCCACCCTTTTCATGCCGCTCCTTTTGATGCGTTCTGCCCGTGACTCTTCAATAATCTCCTCAATCTCCACCTCCTCATCCGAGGAGAGCTGGATGTGGTCCTCCTCCGCATGGTCCTCACCCACAGGGACCTCCTCACCCTCACCTTCCTTCTCCAGCTTTTCACCTTCCTTTAGGGACTTGCTGATGCTCAGTTTAGATGGGAGCTTCACTTCATCCTGCAAGACACAGAGCGGAGCCAGTGAGACACACAGACACCGGCAGCCCTGGAGCCAGCCCGTCCTCGTCCTCCCTCCCACGGCGCCAGAGACATCGGCCTCCACCCAGCTAAACACACCCAGGTACCTCAGGCCTGGGCTCATCCTCCCTTACTGCAGCTGATAAGTCATTGTGAAGAGGATCTGCTTAGGACTCTCCTGTACCAGGACTCAGGCACCAGCTCTGCTCACCCTAGGCCGGCTCCAAACTCATCTGTGACGCCAGAAGTACTGGAAAGGCAGCCCAGCACTGAAACTGGAGCCTTTTCCCTTCCTCTGTCTGTGTCTGTCCTGTGCCCTCCAGTTTCATCTTTATCCCAGACCTGACCATCATAGCCCCTCACTCCAGGGACATGTGGACCACCAGGACAGTGTCTTCAGGTCTCCAGCCTGGCCAGGTCCAGCTGCAGCCCCAGGCACAGCACAGGGCTGCAGAGGCACAGCCAGAGCTGAGAGTCTGGCCACAGCACAGTGTGCACACTCTGTCCTGGCCACCCCAGGCTGCACTCAGACTTTCCCAAGGCCTCAGGATCCAGATGTGGGGCTGGGACATCTCTTGGGATGCAGCAGGCTTCCCTGTTTTTCCTATTTCTCCACTGGGGAATAAGTTAGAGAATTTGCCCAAGTCCATATCTGGAGATGGTGGAGACAGTGGCCCAAACTCACACAGCCTGGTCTGCAAGGATACACAGCTCTACTTAGGACAGAGCTGAATTCATTCAGCTTCTCCACGAGCCTGAGCCAGCCAAGTTCCTGATCCCAGTGTCAGAGGACAAGCATGTGCCTGGGAGAGGGGCACAGGTCTGGAGTGGGATTGGTTTTCATCTGAGCAGCACATAGCATGCGTCCCTGCTGCAGTGATTCACCTCTCTGTTCCCGGGACAGGCTGGAAATAGCCCATCACTGTACAGAGCCTCACAGCTGCAGGGCTGCAGCTCACGCTCAGAAATGTATTGCCCAAGCAGTTTTAATCTACAGAGCTGGGTGGGAGAGGCGGGAGCTGCCAGGAGCAGCCTGTCAGAAATCCAGCAGCAGCCAAAGGGCAATGTGTGGAACGGGCACTCAGCATGCAGAGCTGCTGGGCTGAGGTTTGGAGAAGAGCCTGGGCAGCAGCACAGCCAGTGCCACTCTGAGCCTTGGGGCAGGCAGCAGCAGAACAGAGCAAGGATGGGATTCCAGTCCTGCACTGGCAGAACCAGGCCCAGGGAAATCAAGGGGCAGCCCCAGGTGCACCCCAAGTGCTTGGCAAATCCTGGAACACCGGCAGTGATTTGCCTGCCCCTGGCTTGGGGACGTGCCCTGGGACAGCAGGGTGACTTTGCTGTGCGTGTCACAGCAGCTGCCACTGCTCCACTGCAGCCGTGCACGAAGGAGCTGCACAGGTGCCAAGAGGCAGGACAGGGGGGATGGTCATTCCCTCAGGCATGAGGAGGGGTGTTCCTGGTGCTGCTGTGGGACAGAACATCCCGGTCCTGCTCAGAGCCGGAAGGGACGGCGTGTGTGCACACCCTCACCCTGAGTGCTGTCCCACTGCACGCCACTGCCCCGCCTCACCAAGTCACTGCCACTCTGGGGCTCTGCCCTGAGCTCCTGGACAGAAGCTGGAGCAGATGCTCTCCCTGCAGACAGGGTGCTGTGCCCAGCCCTCTGTGCTGTCCCCAGCCTTGCCTTCCCTTGCACCCCTGGAGAAGTGACACAACTCATGGGATACGTGACTCCAGCACAACTTCACCTGTGTGAAATCCAGATGCTTTCAGCTGCTTTCTCTTTTTTTTCCCAAGCACAGGTACTGGTCCTGAGGCCAGCTGAAGCTCTGGAAGCACAAGGGCATCTGGAGAAACCTTTGTGAGCAGTGAAAAGCCAGCTCCATGGAGCACTGGGCTCACTGAGGATGGCATGGGTTGCAGTGTCTGTGGTGAAAGCACAGTGCCTACTGGAGCAGAGCTTTCATTCTGGGTGTTCTTCAGAGCAGAGAACTGTGCTGGGTGAAGCTCTTCACCCTCCAGATCACAGGTCACGTCTCATACACTTTGTGGAGATTAAGGTGAAGTGGCCAACATGTGTTTTCTTCATTTGATGAGCCACTTCAGCAGAAAACAATACACACGTTCTCCAGAGGGCCAGGTCAGTCCAGGGCAAACCCACATCAGGGGGAAGGCAGGGATCCTGTTCTCCACAACAACACCTGCCAGAGCAATCCCAGAAAATTCCAGGGACCCTGCCCAGCCAGCAGAACATCAGGAACTCCAGCCACTTCCTTCCCTCTGAGGCAACACAATGAGCCAGAACAAAGGCATCCCCCTCTCGCCTGGCACAGCTGTCCCTGGAAATGGGCCATATCCTGCAAACCCTGATCCTATCAGCCCCTTGTGAGCTCCAGAATATGTGTTTGCAGAAAGAAACACCACCTCAAATCTCCAAGTCTGTCATATAAATAACAACCTTTCCTCGTGCTACACCAGCATATCCAGCTCTTGAGTGAATTTTCTGATGTGATGGGATGGGCTGTGCCAGCAATGCTCCCATCCAGCCTCAGCAGCACCCTGCAGCTTTGGATACATGGCACAGTGGGAGGAACCCCTCTTGGGGTGCCTGCAGATCTCCCTAATCCTGCACTTCACCTGGAGAGCAGCAGCTGCCCAGCTCTGTGATCCCACAGGCTGCACTCTCACTTCTCCCACTCTGCTGGCCCTGCTCCATCCCCACAGCCTCGCAGTGCTCACAGCTCTGCTGAGCCCCTGTCAGGAGGCACTTCATGGATCAGACCCAGAGGCAAAGAGGGAGCACAGCCCTTCCCATACGGAAGGATCCCAGCCTCTCCCCTTGGGACTGTTTCCAAGAGCTTTTCTCCAGCTGTGTTTGGGAAACCCTTCGTGTCCTGCTCCTGGCCTCTCTCCTAGGCATAATTCCTGCATTTCCCACCCTCAGCCCATCTCTTCCTCACTGATTGCTGATCTGACCAGTAGATAACCAGCTGGGGGACCACTGGAGGATTCTCAACGGTGTGCTAAGGGACAGTCCCCAGAGTCCAGCTCACCTGCATTCAGGGAGCATTCCTGTGGATTCAGGCACAGCACAGCTGGTGGGAGAACATCCACAGCTCTGGCACATCTTAATGGGGATCAGCACGTTCTGTTGAGCATCCCTTGAATGTACCACCCCCCTGCACCCAGGCACTGCCCAAAAGCCACCAAGAGTCTCCTCCTCCCTGCCCACGAGGTTTCTCCAGTGGGGAAGGGGAACTGCCTGGTTTGGGCAGAACAAGCCTGCAGACACAGGCCTGGAGGATAATGGGACGTGACTGGAACAATCAAGAACCATCCCAGGCCCATGGCTGGCTGCTGCACAAATCCCTGCTCTGTCCGAGCAAGGCACTATGCTCTCTGCACTTCATTTCGCTCATGACTCATCCAGTTGAGCCACATTTTTAACACCAGGCATTCTATTTTTACTCAGAAAACACTGATCCTGAAGTAGGCGAGTCCAAAATCCTGGGTCTTGGCATCCCTGCCTGTTGGGGTGTTCAAAACCTGGCTCGCAATCAGCAGAGGCAAACCAGTTCTGTCCTCTCTGCTTGCATCCAACTGGCACAAGGACAGCGGGTAAACAACATTTTTCAGAAGATTTTGTTACCAGCAAACTCTGTGTACAGTGCAGAGCTGCACCCAGCAGCAGGACAGGGATAGGGAGCCTGCCTTATCCCTGCAGCACAGACCTCCGGGGATGAGCTGTGCTTTGGGAAGCTCCCTGGCACTGAGCCGGTCCATCTGTGGACTTTGTGGGCACCCAGAGGGGCCCCAGTGCCCACAGGCAGCCCCAAGGGCAGCTGGCTGCCAGCTGCTCTGTGTCCTCCTACTTCAAACAATCCCGAGCTGTCGGATCCTCAGCAGCCTCTCCTCGGCTCCCCAGAGTGGGCTTTTATCTGACATTGTTTTCGAGTTCCCTGGCAGTGAGTCACCCGCAGCCCACGGCCATGGACACCCGCCTGGTTGCTACAACACACGTAAACACTTCCCCTGGCGTATAAAAGGCCAAGGAGACACAGAGCTGAGCTGCATTCCCAGTCAGTGTGTAAGGAACAGAGTCCCAGCACTCCCAGCCACTCTGGTCTCCAGTTGGAAGGTTTAATGGAAGGTTCTCACATGCACATGCAAATCACATCTGCAATTCATTTCACTCCGTTATTTTTACACAACTGCAACAGCACAAACAGAGGGTTTGGTTGATGTTTGCAGCCGTAACATGCAGAAAACAACCAGCTTACATTCCTGGCCTCCACTATGACCAAATCAGGCTGATCCCAACACTTTGTGAGCTGTAGCCCCTCCTGCAGCCCAGCCCTCCCTCTGCCCACCCGGGCAGCACAGCCTGGCCCTGGCCTCGGGGAGCCTGGGGGAGGATGAGGAGGAGCTTGGGCAGCAAACAGCCCTCCAGGTCAGGTCAAACTGTGCCAGAGGAGAACAAGTTCTGCTCGCGTTTCCATGATAACTGCTCCGCTGTGCCAGGCCTCAGAGGACACTGTTTTGTGCTGACCTTCCAGCAGTGTCATGGGAAGGAGGATTATTCCTGAGTAACAACAGCATGGCTGAGAAGCACCCTGAACACAGCAGGGCTCAGGAGTGTCCAGATACCCTGCACAGAGGGGGCTGTGCTTTCCTCTCCAGTGCCTTGGTGGAACAGACATTTTCTGCGGAGACTGAAATTGCTAGATTTTTTTTTCCTAGATCACAAATAAAAGAGGCTTTTCTTACATCTGACATTCTCCTTGAAAAGGAGAAGTTTTCCCTAGCAGCTTTGAGCAGAGACCACAATTCCTAGACTTGGTTCACCCTCATCTGGCTCTTGGAATATTCCTGTCCACCCAAGCAGCATTCCCACTGACAGTGCTGCACATGCTGCTGGGTGTTTTATGGGGTGTTTTATCCAGTAGCTTGGGGTGTTTTATGCAGTAGCTGCACAAA